GGCCGGGCTGAGGATGTCGACGAGGGCGGGGAGGAGGAGCGGCGGCGCCGGGACCAGAGCGGCGGGCCGCGCCGAGAGCAGCAGCGCGACGGCATCGACGGCGTCGGCGCGCACCTGTCGTGGCGTGGCGCGGGAGCGCGGCGGTGAGGAGGCGGTGGGGAGGGGAGGGGCGCGGGGGTCGAGGGAGAAAGGGAGGGCGGTAGGCGGGCGGAGAGGAGGAGAGAGGGCAGCGGGAAGGAGAGAGAGGAGGAGGAGAGAGAGGCGGCGGGCAGGAGAAAGGGAGAGGCACTTGAGTGAGGGCGGCGGCCGAGCGAGGGCGGCGGGGAGGAGAGAGGGCAGGGCCGTGAGGGCGGGGCCGTGAGGCAGGGCCGTGAGGGCAGGGCCGTGAGGGCAGGGCCGACTCGTACCGCCGGCTCCTCGCGTGACAGTGCGGCCTGCAGGTTCAGCCGCAACAGCGGCTCGTGCGGCGCCAAGGCGGCCGACTGCTCGAGCCGCGGGAGGACGGCGCCGAGCAGGGTGAGCAGCGCGCGCCGCACGCGCGCCGCCGTGTCAGACACGAGCGGCGCGGCGCCGGAGAGCACCTCCGCCGCGTGTGTGTGGAGGAGCGACGGGTGGTCGTGAAGCAGGTCGTTGAGGCCGAGCAGCGCGTCGCGCCGGACGTCGGGTGAGTAGTGCCGCAGCTGCGCGAGCAGCTCTGGCAGCGTGTGCGAACCGCGTGACGTCGTCGGCTGCGTGTCGCGACCGTCGGCAAACTGAGCCTGCTCGAGCAGCACGACTGATCGCGTCTTGAACTGTGTGGCCGTAGTCGAGGTCGGCGCAAGCTTCTTCTTGCCCAGCTTCTGCTTGCGCTTCTTGAAGTCAGCGGTCTTGCCGCCCTTTGGCATTCCCAACGAGAGCCTACGTTAGCCTGCTCCTCGCCGGACTTGCGGATGCGTGCCGCTTGCAGTATGAAAAAGAATTTAAACCGTCCTTCTCAAATTGCTTGTTTTGCTTATATCTATCGTGCTCCTTGGCCTGTCAGGGACAAGGAAGCGCTGTGCTGAAAAGAATTTAACTACTCGAAGAATTTAAGGTCCCTCGGGCCAGTTGGGGGGGGCAAACCCAGCCCGCCTCCGCCTCCCTCACCGCCGCCCCCATCACCGCCGCCCCCATGGGTGAAGCCTCAACAAGGGATAGCACGACCCGGTGGGGAGGACCGACGTATGCCGATGATCGATTTCTTTGGCGTAGGGGACCCCAAACCCTGAGTTTTTCTGAGCCTGCAGCGGGCAATTAATTTCGCTGCTTTCGTTTCACAGCTCTTTCACACGACTTCTCCGTCACTCCCCGAACCATCTTTCGGAATGGAAAATCCCTCGAGGTTAGCGCTGGGTGGGAGTGGAGGGCCCATATGGAACGGCCGTCCTGACACAGCCTTGAATTCGGCTCGCGAACTTCTTTGCCCGACTGGGTGGCATACACTGACAGACGCGGGTCGGAAGACCTAGGAAAAGCAGGGTGGGCCTATGCAGTACTCATCGGGGCGACGCCATCGGCGATGAGGGCGCGTCGCTGACGAGCGAGGGCTACGGGCCAGTTGTCACTTCGGCGGCGCACCCAGCCTACCTCGGCGCGCGTAAGCATATTGACAACACAGCGGAACTAGCGACGATGCCAATATGCATGTGTGGTCTGTGATCCACCTACGGCGGTCCCCATGTGGGGAGTGCACGAGTGCATAACGCACTTAGTAAGTCGAACGTCGCCGCGCTGAGTCTTCCGGCAACGTAGGTCCTATTCACCTTTTGTGTCGCGCGCACGGGCCCGGGCAGCACTTTCCGCAACACCGTTGCTGACAAGCGCCTGCAAAGGGGTTTTCGTTGCAAGCCGTGCACTGCACTTCTGCACGCCGCCAGGGTGCTTTGTAGGTGGCGGCCCCGCGTCCAGCGCGGCACCGACGGGGGCCTCTTGTCTGGCTCGCTTGCGCTCCTTTTTTGCTTGCCTCTCTGCCCGTTTCCGTTCGCGTTCCGCCGCCTCCGCCGCCTCGCGTGCTTCCTTTGCTGCCCGTCGCCGCGCCACCTCTGCCGCAAAGTCGGACGACGGGGGCGGTCCCATTGGAGGAAGGCAAGCCGGGAAAAACAGGCTATTGTGCGAAAAAGAAAACGGAACGCACCTAACACGCCGCAGGCACCTCCCGCGCCGGTCTGGGGGCGAGCCTCGGCGAGACTGTGTCAGCTGTTCCCATTTGGCTGGAAGTACCTCGGCGCATGGCAGGACGACTCCACGCCGCGGCCTTCCCTCGCCGCTCATCCGCGCTCATCCGGTTCCGCGAGGGCCCTTCGGTCGAGGCGAGCCACTGGACAGAGGGCCCACTCGGTCGGCTGAGTGCCCAGCTGGAAGGATCGTGTGTGCTGCGCAGATGTGGCAGCTCAAAGGCGCTGTGGCAGGGCGACGTAAGCTTGAGCAGCTTGCTCCCCGACCCTGCGATCGAGGTGCGGCCGTCGCCAGCGCCAGCGGTATGGGACGTCTCTTCGCCGATGCTGCACACGCTCAACTGCACGCTGCGCATCGGCACGCGCCCGCCAGAGCATACCTCGCTGCGCTTCGGCTTCCGCTCGTTTCGCGCCGTCGGCGGCCGGTTCGAGCTCAACGGACGGCCAATCTTCCTGCGCGGTAACAGCGTCAACCCGCCATTCAGGCATATCGACGACGCCGTCGCCTTTGGCCATGCCTTTGCTTACGACTACCTGAGCGACCTGCAGCGGCGCGGCGTCAACGCTGTCCGCATCGGTGACGGCGCCGCGATCAGTTCGCAGGCGTGGTACGACGCGGCCGATGAGCTTGGCATGCTAATCTATGCCGGTCCGTACGGCAACCCAGTCTGCCCCGGCTGCAAGGCCAAGCCGCCGACGCGGCCGCCACCAGCGGGGTCGGCGGTGGCGGCGCTCGCGCGCTACCAGGCGCTGCTGATGGTGACGGCGACACACCCGTCGCACGTCGTGCTCATCCTGGGCAACGAGATGGACATCTCGGGCCCGCGCGGCCACTGGGGCGACGCGCCCTTCTACCGCCAGTACGCCGACCTCCTCCGCCAGCTCACGCGGCAGCTCGAGGCCTTTGACGGCGAGCGCGTGTACCTAGGGGACGCCGGCTTCGGTCAGGGGCTCGGCGGGCAGATCCTCGACGACCACACCTACTATGGGTGGTACCAGGGCGACCCATCTGCGTACTATCTGCACGAGGCGGGCGGGCCGCGCGGCGTCGCGCAGCCACAGACATTCACCGAGAGCGTCGGCAACTACCTGACGGCGGGCGGAGACTTTGACGTCTCTGGAAAGAACTGGGCGTGGGCGCAGAAGTGGGCGGGACCGTCGCAGTTCGAGGGGGTGGCGGCGCGGCACGCCGCCTGGGTTCAGCGGAGCTCGGCGGAGATTGTGCGGCGCAACCGCGCGCTCAACCCGCACCTGGCCGGGCTAATGCAGTTTGCGGCGCCATTCTTCTACTGCGGCGCGCGCGTCCACTCGTTTGCCGACGTTTCCGCGGCGCCCTCGCCAATGCTCGTGGCATCGGAGCGCTCGTTTGCGCCAATTCTGCTCAGCCTGGAGAGTTGGACGCCGCACACGTACGCCGGTGCCACGCTTCATCTTACGGTGCACGTGGTGAACGACGACGACGGCGGTGCCGACCTCGGCCCCACCACCGTCACGTGGAGCCTCGAGTGTGGCGGCGTAGAAGGAGCAGGAGGCTCGAAGTCGCCGTCGGCGTCAGCGGGACAGGCGCGCTGCGCGCCGGCGGCACTGCCTCGCGGTGCGGTGCACATGCCCTCGCTCGCGTACTATGGTGTCCACTCGGCACCTCTCGCGCTCGTTCTGCCGCCGGCGCTGCCGCCGGGCTGCGACCATGTCGTGTGCAGCCTCTCCGCGTCGCTGCGGCTCGGCGGGGCCGCCTCCAAGCCGAGCTGCGTCGACACGCCGGGCTGGCGAAACATCTTTGGCGCCGGCTGCGACGCCTTCGTGACCGACGGCCACTGCCGCGACGGCGCCTTTATTGCAGGACATGAGTGGGCGGCGGGCGCGCAATGGGGGCACCCAGAACACCACTGCTGTGCGTGCTCTGCGAAGCTCGCGTGGGCACAGAGGCATGCGGCTGCTGAGGACACGGCCTCCCACGCTCTTCTCGCTACCACCTCTGAGCCACTGACGCTCTTTGCGCGGCTCCCACCCGAGAGCGGCACGGCGGCGCCGCTGCCCGTCTTCGATCCGGCTGGGGCCACTGCTGCGGCGCTGCGCGGCAGCGGCGTCGCCGTCGAGGCGCTGACGAGCTTGGCGGCGCTGCAGGCGGTGGCGCCGTCGCGCGCAGTCCTCGTCGGCGAGAGCCTCGAAGGTCAGTGGCGCGGCGGCGCCCTCGCGGCCGCGTTGCGCGCGCGTCTGGAGGCGGGCGGGCGAGTGCTTCTGCTGCAGCAGGCGGACGCCGCCGACTTTGACGACGCGACGGTGCAGCGCTTGCTCGACCCTGCGTTGCGCGTGTTTGCGCCGACCGTGACGCTTCCGCACTCGGGGCGCACGCTGCCGCGCGGCGAGCCCGTCCACATGCAGCGCCGCGACCACGTGATCTTTCGCGCGCCGCACGCCATCGACCCGACGTGGCTTGAGCGATGGGGGCTTCTCTCGCCGTGGCGGCCGCGGATGGCGCAGCGCTCCAATGGCGCACGGCTGCCGCACACGTCGCCAATGTCGTCGGGCGTCACGATTGACGTCTCACGAGGCGCCGATCCGGCCAGCGCCCACGCCAACGAGAAGGCGCTGCGCCGCATCTCGCCGCTTCTGACGCATGCAATGGGCTCTGCGGACCTCGTCCTCTCGGAGGTCTTCTATCCACCACTCCCGCCCACCTCCGTAACGGGCGGCGACGGCAGCGGCATCGGTGGCGGCGCCCGACGGGGCGTGGCACTCGTGTGTGGGCTTGGGCTGGTGGCACGGCTCGGGCGGGAGCCGGTGGCAGATCGGTTGCTGCGCAACCTCGTTGCGTACCTTGGCGGCGGTCGGGGTCTTCATTCGCCGCCGTCGCAGCAGCAACCGCACGCGCTTTTTGCGGCGGGAGAGTCGATCTTGTGGGGGTACAACTACTCGAGCGAGAAGGGCGTCGCATTCTCGGGTCCGGCATCGGGCTTGCTGATCGAGCCGTGTGCCTACGACGAGAGCTGCGGGTGGCAGGGCACGCTCGGAATGGGGGCGTGCGGCCGCTTCCCATACGGCCCGTACGAGTTCACGTGGATGGGGCACACGCACGATCTGGCGCCCGACCAGGCGTGGGGCACTGGCGTCGTCACGCTGCGCACGACAGCGGCGAGGCTGGTCACCACCTTCCACGCGTCCTCCTACGTCGACGCGCAGACGCTGCCGACGATGGAGGCGATCCTTCTCGCCGATGACTTCAGTGTCGCCGCGCGCGCAGCGTGCAGCGGCCGCTGGGCCGATGGCGCGCCGCTGGTCGAGTGCCACCTTTCCACGCTCGGCTGCAGCGACGAGGCCGCCTGGTCCAACGGCCACGGCAAGGACTGCACCGCCTACGCGGCCGAGGGCTGGTGCTCCGGCGGCGGCGCGGCGGCCGGGGCTGAGTGGACGCTCGGCGTGCAGTTTCGCTACCCAGAGCGCGCATGCTGCGCTTGCGGCCGGACGGCGCAGACCGCCGCGGCCACGGGGGAGGCGTCGGCGCGGCACGTGTCGCTGCGCGTGGCGGGGCCAAAGACGACGGCGATGAAGCGGTCCTCGTTCCTCGCATGAGAGATCCAGAGCTGTACTAGTACTTCCGTGTAGTGGGCTGGTACGGTCAGCTTTGTGTACAGTGACCTGCATGAGCATATGTGCATGTCCATGTACGTCCATGTGTCGTGTCAGACCATGTCGCTCGCGCGAAATCTCGTGAATGGAGGACAAAACTCATTTTAAGGGACGCGCAGGCTGACAGCTCACCCCGGGCCACCCGGAAGTGAGCGACACTGCTTGCTGAGATTTGTGTCGGGGAGCGAAAACGTCTTGGCAGGGAGAATGTACCTGTACCTGTGAGAGGTACTCGAGACTCGAGTAGCGGTGAGAATCCCGCGCCGCCACGCCCTTCGGCACGCCCGAGGCGATTGCAAACCGTGAAGGCCACGCCGACCTCGCCGCCTGGCTGGTCGCCAGCCGCGGCTGGACGCCGCTCCGGCATCTCGAGGCGTGCCAAAGGCTAGCGGCCGAAGGCGTGAGTGCATTGTCCTCACGCCCATTGCCCCTCTTCCGCAGGCGCTCACCGTCGAGCGGGCGCGGGCGCTGCTGCGCGGCGGCGCCGACCTGCTCGCCGGCGAGCCTTCGGCCCTCGAGCGGGCGCGCGTCCTCTGCGCGTGGGGCGAGTCGGGTCCGACCCGTGCGGCAGTCGGTTCCACAGTCAAGATCCGCTCTCTCGTCTCGCGGCCCTCGATGAACGGCAAGGTCGGCGTCGTCGTCTCCGCAAACGCTTCGACGGCCCGCTTCGGCGTGCGCGTGGCGGGCGAGGCCAAGGCACTCGCACTGAGGCGCGCTATGCAAGGGTCTCTCCCCGACTCGCCGGATCCTCTCTGTGAACACCCCAAGCCTCTGCCCTCCCTCAGGCCGGCCAACCTGGAGCCAGCGGCCGAGGCGGTGGCGGTGGGCAGGCTGGTCCTCAAGGCGGCGGAGTGGTCGCCGCAGTCGCACAAGCTCTTCCCAACAGCGGCTCGCAAGCGGGCGGTCGAGGTGATGCGGCTGGGCTACCTGATCGCCTGGGACGAGGAGCGCTTCGACAGCCGCGAGGGAGCGGCTCCAGAGCTGGCGGACATCTGGCGCGGCTTTGTGCTGCCAAGGGTGGTGGTGCGATGACTTCTCGTTCCGCACGGGGTTTTCAGTGAGAGGGCCAAACACCCACGCCCCAGGTGGGGTCTTGCCGTTGCCCGCCTGTGCTCGCGTCTATTGGGTTTAGTCTATGCACGCTATGGTCTATCTCTAGCTGGTGTGAGACTGTGGAGGTGTGAGGTAAAAGCACGCTACCAGCGCTTGGGGCCACATGCACATCGGCCCTGAGATCCTTCTTCTCTGTTGATGTCTTGTCTACGCGGCTTTACTCGCTGGAGCCGAGCAGGAGAGGGCCCGGCGCACAACCCTCTGCCCGAGTGTGGCGCCGCAGTGCAAGAGCCTCCGGCGGCCGGGCCTCCGGCGGACGCCTAGCGGCGTGGCGCTGCGCGCCGGCGCTGCCGAAAGCAGCCTTGACGCGTCGGCCGGGGAGCCTCCGGCGGACCTGCGGCGCGGGGCGCTGGCTGCGCGCGGCAAGCTTGCCGGAGTGTGGCCGCGCAGCAAGAGCCTCCGGCGGGCCTCCGGCGGACGCCTGCGGCGTGGCGCTGCGCGCAGGCGCTGCGCGCCATTCGGAAGACTCGCCCGCATCTTCGACAGCATCTTCTGCGTATATTTTGGCCCCCTATAGCAAGCAGCTCGCGGAGGAGCAAAGGGCGCCCGATTAGCGCTGCGCGCGGCCAGGCAAAAGGGAGCGTGACGCGGGCAACACGCGAGGGAAGGAGAGCGTCTTGTTTCGGTGTCGCGAACCTGGGTGTGAAGCTATTCGGGCCCGGGTTGGCTTTGTGAAAAGCGGGATGTGTTAGCCCCCCGGAAACATTGTTGCCGAAAGGGGGATGCGGAGACATTGTTGCCGAAAGGGGATAAGCAGTTGCCGTCGGTCGGCCTCGCCGAAACCCCACACATCACTGCGTACGCTCTGCCTCGCGGCGGCGCTGCTGCACGGGGCCGACGCCTTCGGGTCAATTGGAGGCATCCCACAGGTCATCTTCGTGCACGACGTCGTCCTCGATGACTTTCTCGGCGAGGCGCTCGTGATGGAGGCGCACAATAAGGGAGAGATCAACTTGCTCGGTGCCGCGGCCGGCAACCCCCATTCCATGCGAGATAGAGAGGTAGCGGTCCTTGGAGATCGATATAGGCTCGATCGTCATCAACGCCGACAGCGTGCCACCGACGTCGTTCAAAATCGTGGACAAGTTCCGCGATCCTATTACGGGGACGCTGTTCCCATTGGCAGCAATGCCGTCACACTGAGCGAGGCGCCGCGACTGACCCCACTGTCCACCACCGTGTACCAGGCTCGGCTCTTCAATCCGTTCCCAATGTCGTACGTACCGGACCGACTCCGACAAGATGTACAACCTTGAGTCGGTCGAGGTCATGCCCGAAAAGATGCCATTTGGAGTGGACACCTGCATCGTCGACGGCCAGGTTTGGCTCGAGGCGACGCTCGAGGCGGCGGCCGATCGATAACAGCAAGCTCTGTCGAACGTGAGCTCAGGGGTGGTAAGGAGATGTAGGACCTTCCTTAGGTCCGCCTCTCAAATCCTCACTGTCTGCGATGTGAGCTTCTTGTTTATCATCAACCATCTGTGTTAAAAGAAAGAAAGAAAGAAAACCATCTGTGTTACTCGGCCTTAGATAGCCGTCGTACGTTTTTTTAAGTCAACCGTGCGATAGCAAAGTAGATATCGCGAAACGACTTTCCGGCCGCGTATTCTGCCGAGCGGGGCCGGTCTGATGCTCTCGCTCTCACTGCACCCGCTCATTGCTACATCATCCATCCCTAACCCACCGCCGCCCTCGCCTCCGCCTCCAAGCCCGCCGCCGCCCTCACCACCACCACCCTCGCCGCCACCACCCTCGCCGCCACCGCCCTCGCCTCCACCTCCAAGCCCGCCGCCACCCTCGCCACCGCCTCCGAGCCCGCCGCCACCCTCCCCGCCGCCGCCCTCCCCGCCACCACCCTCGCCGCCACCGCCCTCGCCTCCACCTCCAAGCCCGCCGCCACCGTCGCCTCCACCACCCTCGCCTCCACCGCCCTCGCCGCCACCACCTTCGCCTCCACCGCCCTCGCCTCCACCGCCCTCGCCGCCACCGCCCTCGCCTCCACCTCCAAGCCCACCGCCACCGTCGCCACCTCCTCCGAGCCCGCCGCCACCGTCGCCGCCGCCACCCTCGCCTCCACCGCCCTCGCCTCCACCGCCCTCGCCTCCACCGCCCTCACCACCACCGCCCAGCCCACCACCACCCTCACCGCCACCGCCCTCGCCGCCGCCACCCTCGCCGCCGCCGCCCTCGCCGCCGCCACCCTCGCCACCGCCCTCGCCGCCAGCACCGCCCTCGCCGCCGCCGTCACCCCCGCCTCCCTCGCCGCCACCACCGAGCCCACCGCCACCGTCGCCACCGCCGCCCTCGCCGCCACCGCCTTCTCCGCCGCCACCTTCACCGCCGCCGCCCTCACCGCCGCCGCCAAGCCCGCCCCCACCGTCACCCCCGCCTCCCTCGCCACCACCACCGAGCCCACCGCCACCGTCGCCGCCACCGCCGTCGCCGCCACCGCCTTCTCCGCCGCCACCTTCACCGCCGCCGCCCTCACCGCCGCCGCCAAGCCCGCCCCCACCGTCGCCACCGCCTCCCTCACCACCGCCACCGAGCCCGCCGCCGCCCTCGCCGCCACCGCCGTCGCCGCCACTGCCTTCTCCGCCGCCACCTTCACCGCCGCCGCCCTCACCGCCGCCGCAAGCCCGCCCCACCGTCGCCACCGCCTCCATCACCGCCGCCTCCGAGCCCGCCGCCGCCCTCGCCACCTCCTCCCAGCCCGCCGCTCTCGCCCCCGCCGCCCTCGCCCCCGCCGCCCTCGCCTCCGCCACCGTCACCCCCGCCTCCATCGCCGCCGCCTCCGAGCCCGCCGCCGCCCTCGCCGCCGCCGCCCTCGCCGCCGCCCCCCTCGCCGCCGCCGCCCTCGCCGCCGCCCCCCTCACCGCCGCCTCCTTCACCGCCGCCACCGTCACCGCCGCCACCGTCGCCACCGCCGCCAAGCCCTCCGCCGCCCTCGCCGCCCCCGCCCTCGCCACCGCCGCCTTCGCCACCTCCACCGTCACCACCGCCCCCCTCGCCACCACCGCCTTGGCCGCCGCCGCCCTCACCTCCGTCGCCACCTGCTTCACCGCCGCCACCACCGCCGCCTCTTTCGCCCCCATCCCCCCCCCCGCCGCCGCCACCCGCTTGTTGGTCGGTGTGGAGGACACGCAAGTGCCGGGCAAGCCGAGATGCGAACGACTGGTCGTGCAGGGCAACTTGCGGGTGATTCACCTCAAACGCTCGTCTACAGCGCTACCGCAACACAGAGCAGCAGCAGGCGCCGAAGACAGTAACGTACGTACGGGGTGCGGAGGCTGAGTTGCACAGGGGTTGTGCGCCGCCCTCCTGCTCGGCTCCAGCGAGTACTCTACTGCAGTCTTTTGGGGTCGGGGCTCGCTTTACTTATTTAGCGTTTAGGAAAAGAGACGCACACGCGGAAGTGGTACTACGTAAAAACAACCCACGGCGTCCTCTTAGGGTACGGTACGTCAGTGCGCTACCGGGTGAGCGGCGCAGCCGCCACCGCCTTGGACCCCGCCACTGGGGATAGCCAGCTCTCACGTCGCTTGGCGGCCGGCGGCTTCCGCGGCGTCGACTGAGGTGTGGTGACTGCGGTACCGCCTCCCTCTGCCGGCGATGCGAGCCAGCTCTCGCGCCGCTTGAAGCTCGGCCGCTTGGTCGGCGTCGTCGCCACCCCGCCCTGCTCCGCCACGTGCGCGCTTTTAGGCCGGCCACAGCGCACGCACTCACCTGGGCGGCGGCCGACGCCATCATGGGAGGTGTCATGTCAAGGGGGTGGCCACCCACCTGCCTACCATACCTCCAGAGTATTGAATCCAGTGTGGGTTCAGTCCCGTGGGTGGTGTGGTCACCCACCTGCCGCCCGACGCCTCCACCCTACCGCCTTAAACCGAATCCAGCTAGCTCTCACACACGATTCTC